TGTATTTTGAGGTTTAAAAGCCCCTGGGACGTTATGTTCAGAAAATAAATGTCTCAGTTTCTCTGAAACTCCTGCAACATACAGAATGACCACTGGTCTGAGTTCCTCAATTTCCTCACACAGGCTTTTATCCTCACTTGGCAAACATGAAAATGACTCCTCGTTTGTTTGTTGCAACAGGTGGACTACTGTTTCAACACACAGTGCACACTCGAGACTGGCGAGCAGCTGCCCAGCGACAGATTATTCTTGTTCTTTTGGCAAAGTAATCTCCACTATGAGCTTGAAAGGCAACACTCAGTTTGGTGTGTGCGTGTTTGAGGGTGTAGTTGTTAGGGTTAGGAGTCAGGCATACTTGTATTCTGTTTACAGACACTATAATGAGGACAACTTTCTAATTTCAATTCAGTTTATTTATAAAGCGCCAAATCACAACAAAGTTGTCTCAGGGCACTTTACAGAAACATTCACATACATAAAAGCCAATTAGTAAAGTTCTCTATCTAAGGAATCCAGCAGACGAGTTGAATCTTGGCTTCGTCACAGTCTCCCATAATAGGGTCGAAAAGCATGCAGCAGGATAGTAATTATTTAAGTTTATTATGAGATCTGTGTCCTGAGAGTGTCTTACAGTTGACCTTAGACAAGTAATGATGGTTTTGGCTAAACTTTGAAGTATTTGATGGAAGTGTACTGGCACACAAACCACCCTGTCCTTTGTCCCTTTTGTCATTTCTTATAAACGCCTCCTGAATGCATAGTGGATTAGTGGTAGGTTAGATTTCACCAGGTCCTAAAGGAGAATGGATAAGAGGGGGTTCCATTCAGCATCTGGCAACCCACCATCTACTGTCTGCCTTTTAATTTACCACCATACCCATGGGGACATTGCTGACTGTAAACGGTAGTTATTGGAGCAGGAAGTATTGTCCAGAGACATAGAAGAACAAAGTAAAAAACTAGTGACAACAAGCAGGCACAGGCTGGTGGATTGAGCGTATTTATTGGCATCTCTAAAGGTGAGACTTTTGTCCCCGCCTCCTGTACAGGTGCACGTGCCAGGTGACACTCGGGACAACAAACCCCCCCACCCCCCGTCAGTGAAATGCAAACACAAAAGAGCTCGCTGCAGACTTGTTTAGAAACAAGTACACACCAAGCCAGTGACCTCTGAAGCTCTGATTATCATTAACTGCTGTTTGAAAAATGGGCCAGAGTTTGAAGGATAAGTGTTTAACAGAAATGAGCCCATGCTGTGAAGCAAACTGAGGCCATTGAAAATTGGTTTATTTTGGGTTTTATACCTTTAGTAAGCTATTTAAGTAAGAAACCTGGCTTGGTCATGAACACAGTACCAATAAGTGGCACGACCTGTTTAAATGGTTTACTGCATATCAAACCCACAATATGGAAATTTAGACCAGACAGTTGAAATTTTGTCTGTGCCAAAGATTTAGTTTATACGCAGGTTTGTGGTCATAATGTTTTGCTCTGCGAAGACTCATTGTTTCTGAGTAGACTCTGACCAAAGTTAATGTTCCTGCTTATACAAATGATCAGTCAGAGTTAGCACTCTGTGTTCCTCTGTAATCATGCAGGCCCAGACAATTGCCAGTAGAGTTAGAAACATTAGTCAGTACGGTGTCTGCTGCCCTCAAATCCACACTTCAGTCCGTGGGGAACGGATTAGGCCATAATTGAGTTGGCAAACAGTACTTTAAAGGTTAATGGGATTCATTTGCATGACAACCTGCTTAAAGGTGGGCTTGGCCAGTCTGGAGGAAGATTGATCATATTTGAGCTCACAGGGCAAATAAATACGCCCCTCTCTGTTCTGTGTTCCTTCAGAAGCTCTATCCTCTGAGGAGACACACCGCTAAAACAACACCTTCAAATAATGAGCTTACAACAGCGTGTTTGCAAGCTCAGCTCACATTTCTTTGTTTCAACTGGAAAAAAATCTCCACTTTAAGAGCCAGATGGTCCTGCCTCTTCACCTTCCCATTTCACTAAAAAGACTGGGAAACTTCCACCCCATTTTGTGAAGGCACAAATTGTAGGGATATGGCTAAGTTTGGGGAACGGGTGAACTGGGATGAGGTACAAGTTTAACTTGTCTCAAACTGTAACCTTTACATTTTTAAAAAGTATTTGCGGAAGATGCAAAATGTTAGTAAATCAGCTTGCATGTCTCTTTCAAAGTTTATTTTGAAGGAACCATGAGGGCAGTTTCAGTGATCACCAGGATAGTGCAGTAAAAAAGTGCTACGATGCCAGTAATTGATCTGGCCTACAGTCAACTGGAAGTAGATGGGTCTGAGTTGGGAGATGAAATGAGAGCTATTCAAAATATGTAGCAACTTGTCAGACCCTTGGAAAAAGTTGGACTTCTAGCATTATAAGGTAGGAATGTGCGATAAATATGGTATACGGTAGAAATGATAGAAATTTAGCCTGTTTTCTACCGGCTAACCGCAGTAATGCTGTGTCTGATGTAAAATCAGACTTTTCAGTTTGATCGTTACTTTTTTTTTTTAGTTGAAAACTGTGCGCAAGTGGCGTTAAAGTCATTTCTTCGAAAGCTAAGTAGCGAAGCTACAAGCTAACTACGGCCGGCTTGCTGTAGTGTTGCCGTGTTCAGACGCATGTGCAAAACGCTGAGTTCCGTTGAAAGTTGTTGTTGTTTTTTTTCCGTTGAAAGTTAAAATAAGCGTTGGTCAGCTTTAGAGAAACCTGCTCTCTGATCTGTGATAAGAACGCTGTGTTGTGTGATTTTACTGCGAGACCCTCTGGTCAAAGCCACGGAGTCATTTTGTGTCAGCTCTCCATTAAAGCAGAAGGAGTCGCCCACTAGAGGGTTGGAGGGTGAAGTGTTTCAGTCGCTGCTCTGTTGCTGTTCATTTCTTAAGTGAGACTGGAAACTGTTAAGAGTTAACAACATATTATTTTGTTTAAAACATATGGCTAAAACTACATTGATATCTTTTGCACTGTTTTGCACTGCAAGAAAGAAGCCTAATACTTGATTTGTTTATTATTTAAAAACTCTCTGGACCTAGTAGTGAATTTTTTTTTATTCAAAATATATGATGGCAAAAGGACACCCTTTGCTTTTTTTTAAATTCCTATTAAGTTTTATACCAAAAACATATTGTGATATATATCATTATTGCCACCCTTCACAGTACATATTGTGATATGAATTTTATGCCATATCGCACATTAATATTATGAGGTATCCATAATCTTCAACTAGTGACCCAAGTAATGAGACAAAGAAACTAAATGGACTGTACTTATGTAGCATCGTTCTCTCCAACCAGGATACTCAAAGCTCTTTACAACCTGTGCCCTCATTTAACCATTCATGCAGTACTCTACTACATCTCTACAAAGATAATCTGAATCTGTAGAGGCTCATCAGAGCTTTAGATAATGTTCATACATCGATGGGACACACATCAGAGGTATTGAGAGCTTTAATGTCTTGCACAGGGACCCTTCAACAACACCATACTTTCATCCATTCAGCCGTTTTATTACCTGCCTGATTTTCTGTAGGATCATAGGGTGCAGGTGCCCATCTGCACCCATCATTATGTTAAAGGCAGGGTATACCCTAGACAGGTCCTTCAATGTGAGAGTTTGGGGTTCAATTCCACCAGCAGTCACATGCCGAAGTGTCCCTGGTCAAGACATTGAATCCCTCATTGCCTCTGTGTGTCCCATCAGTGTATGAATGTGATAAAGTTCTGATTAGTCTTTGTAGAGATCTAGTAGAGTGCTGTATGAATGGGTTAAATGATGCACAGATTGTGTTGTAAAGAGTTTGAGTGTCTTGACAAGATAGAAAGGTGCTATACAAGTACAGTCCATTTACCAGTTATATGTCCCCAGTCCATAACGTGGACATTTAGTGCTACCAGTTAACCTGGCATGCAAGTTTATATACTGTAGGAGGAAACCTGAGTACCCAGAGAAAATCAGGGCCACAGGAAGATTTGACGGGAAGTTAATCTTGTGACCTACTTGCTATTGCTAACCAAGTAACCAACAAAAAGCAGATCATAATCAAGTCAAGCATGTTATTATCACTTCCTCCAATTTTAAGGGGCACCTCTCCAGTATCACTTAGTCTGCCTTCATTATGTTGCAGTCACATGACTGTTTTGGTAAAAAGACTGAACAAACGTGGAGTGAGTGTGCAACCGTGCAGGGTCTAACTTTATTCTGGCTTAGTTTAAAGCTGAGGCAGGTGCTGATAAATGTAACGTGACTTTGTTCACAGAACCCAGCCCTCGTCACTGTTGGCTCTAATGGCAGCTGTCTGTTTTCTCTGGTCTGTCTCCACTGAGTCAGGGCGGCTGCTCCTCAGCCGGTCAGTCAGAGAGACGGACAGATGCACAGACCAGCAGGGCTGCTGCTGTTTAAAGCTCCGGCCCGGCCTGGGGACTGCTGACTGGTGCAAAATAGAAACACGGGGGTGGAACCATCAAGAGAGCTAGAGAGTAACTGAAAGCCAAAGCCGAGACTGATGGCGAGAGAGAGAGGGATGTGAGGAAGGAGGGAGAGACATTATCGAGCCAGTGTGAGTCAGCAGGTTGATGGAGCTTCGGGGTGCGGCTCTAGCACATCACTGCTTCTGTACGGCTTCCTGCCGGTTTGTGCCGGTCCACTCAAACCAGCTGGAGCCTGTTTGCTTCACCAGAACGTCAAATCAGATGGCACAGACGATGCTCTGCGGTCATCATATAGATTAAATTAAATGCATTTATTTTATGACATTTTAGGTGTAAAATCATTAGCATATTCTGTGTCCAGTGACGGCTGAATGCACAAATATATTTTAAAGCTGACATAAATGCAGCTAGTTACTTCTTGTCGTTCTAATAGAAGCAGTTTGTGGAAACACTGAGTTAGATGTCGGCCCTGGTTGAGCTTTAATTGGCAGCCTGTGATGGTAAAACTCCTTCTTTATCAAAGCATATGTCTGTGTGCAGGACCTAGAGACAACGTCCCAGCTGTGTATGGCCTGGATGGGACGGACGTGTCGAAGTGGGAGGAGACGGTGCTGAACCCTGCACTGCAGATCTTGGACAGTCTCAGTAAGGTGGGGCCTCAGCAGCTGCTTTCATCCACTGCTGCGACTCAACACTTTCATCCTGACCTCCGGTTTTTTTCTATAGTTTTGTTTTTTTTATAGATGTTTCCTGCTTTTACCCTCACTTCTGATCCCACTCTCCCACATTCATTTAATTTTCATAAATTCCTTTACTGACATTTTAGCATACGTTTGTTCAGCTCTTCTCTTTTTAATCTCCTTTCTTCTGCCATCTTTTAGATTATTGACGCTTTCCATTATTCTCCTCGTGGTTTTCTAAGGTTTTTTCAACACTTGCACATCACTGACCCTTAACCAAGTGTCTGTACCATGTTAGAATGAGCTAATTGACACTTTTCTGTAACATTTTATAGCAGTAAGTAAAACAGACAGCACTGCTACGTCTGAACAGCTGCGACACTTGACTACAGACAAACAACATCAGTGGGTTCACTTGGCTTTATAAGGGAAAGGTTATAATAATGTCTTGTTATATTCTGTAGTCGGGTCACGGAGGCAACAGATCCAGGAGAGCAACCCAGATATTCCTCTTCCCAGCAACACTTTCCATCTTGTCCTGGGGGACCCAAAGACGTTCTCAGGTCAGAGAAGATACTCCGCCCCTCTAGCAAGTTCTGGGTGTGCCCTGGGGCCTCTTACCAGTGGGACATGCCTGGAAAACTTCTAAAGGGAGGTGTCCAGGAGGATCCTAATCTGACGCCGGAACCACCTCAACTCCTTTGCAGAGGAGCAGCAGCTCTGCTCCGAGCTCCCCCCGGACGACGGAGCTCCTCACCCAGTCTCTTGGAAGGAAGCTCATATCAGCTGCTTGTATCCAGGATCTCGTTCTTTCGGTCATGATCCAAACCTCATGATCATATATGAGGGGGAACGTAGAGACCAGTAAATTGAGAGCTTTGCCTTTCGACTCAGCTCAGCACAGGAGAGCAGCTCCTCGGGACAAGACTCACCTACACCTCAAGGGTGGACACTCTTCTGAGGACCAAAATGTTCACATTTTGGACCGAGAAGACAGAGGGATTGAGATGGGAGTGAAGGAAGCTGTTTATGTAAAAAGAGAGAATCCATCTTTAAACCGAGGAGGAGGTCTCAGATTTCAACTCTCTGAATCTTATAATGCAGCTTTAGGACTGATCCCCACTCATTTTCACACATATAGCTGAAATCAGAAGTTTACATACACTTAAAAAGACACACATGCATTTTGTTCACACTGTCTGACGTGAACTCACAAACTTTTCCCGTTATAGGTCAAGGAGGATTACCAATTTTTTTCTATTTGCAAAATACCAGAATAATGAGAGTGATATATTTTTAAGGCAATGTTTATTACTTTATTCAAAGTCAAAAGTTGAAATATACTTTATTAGTATTTGGTACCATTGCCCTAAATTGTATGACTTGGGTCAAACATTTTGCACATCCTTCCACAAGCTTCTCGCAATAGATGGCAGAAATTGTGGCCAATTCCTCCTGACAGAACTGGTGTAACTGGGCCATGTTTGTAGGCTGCGTTGCTCGCACATGCCTTTTCAGCTTTGCCCATTAATTGTCGATAGGATTGAGATCAGGGCTTTGTGATGGCCACTCCCAAACATTGGCTCTGTTCTCCTTGAGCCACTTTGTAACCAGTTTGGCAGAATGCTTCGGGTCATGGTCCATTTGGAAGACCCAAGCTTGAACTTCCTGGCTGCTGTCTTGAGACGTTGCTTGTTCTTTCTTCATGATGCCATCTATTTTGTGAAGTGCACCAGTCCCTCCTGCAGCAAAACAACCCCACAACATAATGCTGCCACCCCCGTGTCTCACAGTCAAAATGTTATTCTCAGGCTTTTCCCTCCAAACGCAACGATGGTCAATAAACAGTTCAGTTTTAGTTTCTTCAGACCACAGGACATGTCTCCAAAAATTAAAGTATTTGTCCCTGTGTGCATTTGCAAACATTAATCAGGTTTTTTATGTTTCTTTTGAAGTAATGTCTTCTTCCTGGCAGAATGGCCTTCAGCCCATGTTAATATAGTTTCACTGTGATAATGACACACTCTTACCAGCTTCAACCAGCATCTTCACCAGGTCTTTTCTTTGGTTCTTGGGTTGATCTGCACATTTAAGACCAAAGCACGTTCATTTCTGGGACACAGAACCCGTCTCCTTCCTGAGCGGTATGAGGTCTGGACATTCCCATCTTGTTTGTACTTGTGTATAATTGTTTGTACAGATGAACGAGGCACCTTCAGCCATCTGGAATTCACACCCAAGGATGAACCAGACCTGTGGAAGTCCACAGTTCTCTTCCTGATATGTTGGCTGGTTTCTTTTGACTTTCCCATGATTTTACACAAGGAAGCAGTGTGTTTCAGGTGTTCCTTAAATGACATCCACAGATGTCTCGAATTAACTCAGATGTTATCAATAAACCTCTCAGAAGCTTCCAAAGACACATCAAATGTCGCCAATTGTTTAAAGGCATAGTAATCTTAGTGTATTAAACTTTTGACTTTGAAGAAAGTAATAAAAATTGCATTAAAAATGATCACTCATATTCTGGAATTTTGCAAATAGAAAAAAAAAGGGTAATCCTAATGGACCTAAAACGGGAAAAGTTTATTCTGATTTCACGTCGGTGTGGAAAAAAATGCATGTGTGTCTTTTTAAATAGTGTATGTAAACTTCTGGTTTCAACTATATCAGGAATTTCAGCCATGTGACCAGAGTGGCTCCTCTGAGTCAGACTAAAACGGATCCCTGTTGTGAGGAGTGAGAGGGCAATCTGCATATGTATCTAGCTTTCCTCAGCTTTATAACTCGAACCCCACACTCTCTCTTCTTTGAAATGAGGTAGCTCCTCGGATGAGAAGCAAAACGTCTTCTGTTACAAATAAAGTCCAGTTGTTTTGTCTTTAACTTTTTTGAATTTGCTGGATGACTGAGAATCATCACCAGCGTTTCGACTCAGCTCTCTGTTCACCACAGCTGACTGTGGATGAGGCCTTGATCCATTGATCTATCTCTCCGTTCATCCTTCCATCACATGTGAACAAGACATCCAGATACTTCAGACTCTCATCTTAGTTGGTTAAAACTCTACTGCAAGGCACCTCGATGCACGCTGAAGGTGTCTTGGCTCTAAGACTAACAGAACCACATCATCTGCATAAAGCAGAGATGAGACCCTGAGGTTCCCACACCAGTCCCCCTCCTCAACACCACTGCATCATAAGATCATGTCCATGAGCACCACAAACAAGATCAGAGATGAGGGACAGTCCTGGTGGAGTCCATCCTGAACTGAGAACAAGCTCAACTTCGTTCTAAGAATGTGGACTCGGCTCCTGCTGTGGTTTGAACTGAGAAACTAAAGTGTCCATTACAGCTAAAGTTTCTGCTTCTTTTACAGAACTTTTGACTCATAATAAATTCTCACAGTGACTAAAGTGCTTTCTTATTTATACCATGGTTGTTGTGCTTCCAGATTTACACTCTATTGAGTCGTTTTACCTTCAGTTGTGTCTGATTGAAGCCAGGAGGAACCTAACAGAAAATTGTTTTGTGTAAATGACAAATGTCTCTTTAACCGCTGTAAAGAGTTGTTGCTGTTTATGTTTCATGCATAAACGGGGATTAAATTATTTTATTTTTTTAACTTCCTGTCATCAGGGTGAAGAGCCAGCTGTCGAACCAATCAGAGCAGAGGGGGTGGAGCAGAGAAACGAGCAGAGCTACCACACCTGTGATCTGTGCGACAAAGTGATCATTGGAGACCTAGAGTGGACGGGTAACACACGCACCGAAAAATCACACCGACAACCTTTATTCTGAAACTTTTTATTATTTAGCCCTGCAGCTGTCTGCTAGAGTTTAAGAACAAAGGAGAGTTCCTGAAATGTGAATTAAAACCCCTCGGTGAAATTACTTTGTCCTGATAAACATGTTCTACTTGTTATCTGAATCTAATGCCTCAGATTGTGGAAAGTTTATGAACTATTATATCGTGAAGTGGTAAAAATACACTTCTGAACAACCTCAGTTTGGAGAAGTAGTGTTTAATATCAACAAGCTAATCACGGGTTTTCTTTTTCAGTAGGCCATTGACTCTAAATACCTGTTAAATAAATATCTTGGCCTGTTTTAGCACAAAAAACAAGCTCTCTTTTAAAACTAAAGAAATAAAATAAACATCCTTGATGTTCTACATGTGCATGTCCCTGTTTTTATTCTGCAGCTCACCTGAATTCCAAGAAGCATCACCATCATGTGAGGAAGAAGAGGAAGTCCGATCCTGGCCCCGGCCTGCCCCAGAGTACCGCTGCACCTCCCGCCTCAGCAGGAAGCCCCCCCTCAGAGGACGCTTGTGCTGCTGTGACCCTGCACCGTAAAGAAGCCTCTCAAGACTCGTCTAAAGACACGACAACGCACACGGGAGTACCGGTGACGCTTTGACAGCTGCACTCTGATCCGTTTGGTTGTCAGGTTCTCTAAAGTTCTTCCAGGAGTAAGTCTGAACTTTAGAAGTCCTGCAGATCACAAAGAGCCTTGATGGATATCGACGGACACGAGAAGAATCCTCGAAGCAGATTTAATTTAATTTAATCGGCTGTTTTCGGTTTCAGCTCGGATCAAATTATAAACCGTTTTATTTTTCTTAACACACAGTACTGTTGCCTTTTTAAAATACTCTCGTTTCAAACCTGGAAGTCGCCTGGTCTCTTTTAATAAACCAGAATATTTTGAAGGTTTCTCGCTCCAGAGTCATTTCTGTCACTCGAGTCAAAATAAAGGCCGAACCAATCAGAAGCTGGACGTCAGCAGAAGTTTTACCTTTCCGTTATTGGAGCTCTCGGCAGCGTGCTCACACAGCACCGACTATTGTGCCTTGTTTTCCGGCTCATTTTTGCGTCTCAAAATACCTTTTTCTGCTTCTTTGCGTGTTGATGACTGGTCGTCTCATGTCTGCTGTGACGGCTGCGAGCAGACGGCGTCTTCACCGCAGTGATTGTTTATCCAGCAGCATGTTGGACTGCTTCAAACGAAGGTGTGTCTGCCTCTTGTTCAACCATTTAAACAACGTCTGGCATCGTTCCAAAGGTCTCTTCTACCTTTTCCATCTTCTCCTGCTTGTTTTCCACAACTCCTCCACTCTGTTGGACCCTTAAAGTGTTCAGGTCCGTGTTTAGTCCTATGGTTTGATGGTGATTAAAAATACTTTCAGCTTTATAATAGGTGGAAGTGTGTCGTCGTGCGTGGGTGTGTTTGTTCCACATTCTCTTTTTTTCCAAACTGGGTCATGCTTACTGGGAGCTCAACATACAGTAAAGGAGCCGCAGCAGGAGCAAAGGTCGGCGTGCAACTGGTGTCTGGTTTATATAACCCGCTCCGTGCGCACGATTTGTTTTTCTTCTCCGGGCTTTTTAATCTGGAGCGAAACCTCTTTTGCTTTTCCCTCCGTTTTTAAGAGTGCTAATGCAGAAACGTAGTCGTGCACTTATTAATGTTTGCCCGTTATTATTCCATTTCTGTCAAGATTTTTATTCACCTACAAAAAGAACAAACGGCCGATCAAAAACAGTTTGATTTTGCATGACCGAACCGGTATTTTGACATGATTTATGTTTTTTTTTTTGCACAATCACAGTTTAAGTTTGATACATTTCTTTAACACAGAATGTCTAAGTGTGTGATCATGTCTTGCACTTTAACTTGTCTGAACTTACCAGAGCGTTTGCAAACTTTTCTCACTCCAAAAAATCTCCACACTTCTTTTGCTGTTCATAAATGATAATCATAAATGATGCTGTAGGATTCAGTTTTTTGGACAGGCTTCCCCAGAGGGCACACATCTAACCCTCATCGACTTCCATCGTATCTATTTAAACTTGTTTTATCTCTGATTAAAGCACAGCAGACGCATAAAAGCCGACGTGAGGAACAAACACGTCACCTTTTACTATAAACTTCTGCACACTGATTGATTGATGGACACTTTCTGCATTTCTGTCTGTTGATGGATGTTTGTCTTGAGTTTTATCAGTTTTTACTAAACAAAAACAATATTTGTATGTGGAAATTAAAAAAACTAACTTGTCAGTCATCTTAATCTTTGCATAGCTCACATTTTCCTTCTCACTTTGCGCTGTATGTTCTTATCTCGAGCTCCTCAGCACCTCCAGGCACTGCAGTTTAAAGAAGTCTGCCTGCACCATTCAGTGCCATGAAGGCTCTTGAACTTTGTTTACATTCTTACAGAAGTGAGCGCCTTCATGGTCACAAGGATCATTCTGCAGTGGAGGCACTCAGAAACCTGCATGCTGTCGGTTTATTAGGTGTTCACGGGTTTAAAGGACCTATGCACTAAACCGCTTCATTCCAAAAGACCTACACACACACACGCACAATCATATGAAAACAAATTGGCGTCAAGTATTTAACTAATTAAATTATGCCTGTACAATAAGATACACAAGTGTGCCATGTTTTACAAATGCGTAAACAGTTTCAAATGTACACATTTCAAATTGTACAAATAGAAATGTTCTGTGCATACAAACTCACATGCATGTGCACATATCATACACGTGCACAAATCACCTGCTGTGGAAGAATCAGTCAACACAACAGCTGCCTTTGACTTTAGACACTTTCTTACTGCTCCAGATTCACAAAGGTAATGCTGCGTTCAAGGCTGGTGAAAAGCTGGGACATCTGAGTGTCACCAGATTTACTGACTTACTGGGAAAAGACACTTGGTGCAGTAGCTCATAACCCCTAAATTAAAGCACTCTTACATTAATCTTACTGGATTATATAAATGTTAATTTGTTGAACTGTACTGTTAAAATAATAAATAAAAATGAGTAGGTTGTTCTTTATGTAGAAATTTTATCAAGAAAAAATATATTACTGGGAGGGGGGGGAGATTCCCGGTAATTTGTCCACAAGAAAATTAACATTTTCTTCTTGTGGAAAAACTATCGGGGAAAATACATTTCCGGTATTTTTATGTGTAAACTGCACATTTGAAATAAACTACCGTAATTTCTGGACTATAAGCCAAACTTTTTTTCCCACGCTTTGAGCACCGTGACTTATACAATACAACTAATTTATGGATTTTTTTTTTTTGACGGGCTAACGTACGAGCTTCATGCTGCCAAAACGTTTAGCCTCGTCACACTCGGGTACTCACATAACAGCCCAATACATGTCTCTCTTGGAGGGTGGGTCCTCAAGACTCCGTGAGACTCCCTGTATAAATAAAGGTTTTAAAAAAAAAAAAATCTGACCAATGAAATTACCGAACAGGTCACAGTCGACCAATGAAACTTGGTTATACAAATACATTTTACTTTTTAAAGTTAGTGGGCGTGGCTTATGTTCAGGCACACTCAATAGTCTGGAAATTGTGGTGCTCAAAATGTTTATTTGTCCTCCGCAAAAACTACCGGAAAAAATATATGCATTTGTGACTCGTCGTACGCATTTACACTTGTGTATCATATTGTACACGTACAAATCATGCTGTACACTTGTGTGACTACTTTTGAGACTACTTTATTTTCATACAACCAGGCTTCCATTCCTCTGACTCCTGCTGCCGTTGGAGCAGGTATAAATCTCCCCTCTGTGTGTTTGTCTGCAAACTGCAGCAGTCAGCGAGTCCCACAATAATTCTCCCAGGCTCAGCTCAGCATCTCTCTCTCAGTCCGGTGTGGTCGTATCGCTGATCAGGTGCTGTAAATGTAAACGTTCGGAGCGTGAGGCCCTGCTCGGGGGAACTGCAGCTCCACTTCTGTAACGTGCTGCAACCCAGACATTCCGGTCTACTGACCTGTTTCCATGAAGCGTAGACTTCACCGTTTATCCTGTTGATCTGCGTCGACGCTACACATCAACAGTGAATGGTAGTTTGCACAATAACAGGAATGTGGTAATATTTGTTCGATTTAGTGCTAAAAATAAGTTTTCAGTTAAAAATATTCTTCCATTATCTTTACCCGCTTCGTCCTTTTCGAGTCATGGGGGGTTACTGGTGCCCATACCCAGCAGTTACTGTGTGAGAGGTGGACATGTCTCAGTCCATCACAGGGACATAGAGACAAATGAGACATACAACCATTCACTCTCTCTCTCTCAACTAGAGATAATTTAGAGTTACCAATCAGCCTAACAAGCATGTTTTTGGTGTGTTGGAGGAAACAGGAGTACCTGGAGAAAACACGCATGTTGGCGTTGTTACGTTAAGGTCAAACCACAGCGCTGCTCAACTATGACGTCCCATAAAACAGCTGCTTGCTAAAGACTTTCCCATAGAACCACCAGAATGATGTCATGTTCTGATCTGCATGTTCAATCACTGTACTCCTGAGCAAGAGAAACTATTTGGTACCACTTCACAATCATCTGTTGTAAAGGATTTATTACTTCTTGATAAATGTATTTTGTAATATAGTTACCACTTCATAAAGCCTTAACAAGTAGTTTTAAAACAATGTTGAAACATTGACACAGGCTTTTTTTTTTGGTGCAACATCATTTAGATTTTAAAAATCAAAAAGCTTTTGTCAGTTAGAGCTCCTTTAAAACAAAAGTATCAACCATACTAATGTAATGACACATTAGGTTTTACCCATTTTAAATGATCTGATAATAAAATTGAGAGTTTTCTACATTATAAGGAGGAAGTACTGAACATTCATTGTGTCGTTTTTGAAAAGCTCCATTGATTAAAACCCAATAAAACATTCATAAGTGTTTTCACAGCCAGGTGTAGAATCATAACATGTTTTCAGGATCTTGCAGCGAGTGCCTTTGTGTGTATGGATGACGGTGAACCTTCTCGTGTTTCGTCATGTTGAACCGCCACCTTCCCACAGCACACCAAAACAAACGAGCCCGGCACGGGCTTCACACTCGCTCACGGTTTACTCTGCGTGACCTTTCACACACAAAGAAGCTTTTCAAATCACCAAATATTACACTCAAACTAAACTAAACTGAACATCTAATCATCTGGAAACTTTAATGTATAATGACTTGAATAAAACTATTTAGAAATAATAATAATAAAAAAA